ATACATATACATACATATATTTAACATGTACTTGACAATGTCATTTTTTCAAGTTTTCAAAGACAAGAAAAAAATAATGATCTATGCACATATTACTAATCTAGACACGGAACAAAACGTAATATGTAACTTCAGTAATATGAAGAATAACTTTCTCTGGTGTATCGATTACGAATATTGATCAAGGACCTAAAGTATGAAAGATGATACTACTTGTAACGAATAAATGTCCTACTTTTTCTTTTTTAAATTACAGATTCGTATATTCATGCAACATACCCACACACAAATATATAACACATTGAAATAATATAAAATATTATGAAATATTCGTGAGATAGGATGGATCATGGTGATCGTGATCGTGATCCTGATCGAGATCTAGAAATTTGATGATAATACTAATATCGAATATCACAAAAACAGATGCAATTTCAATGCCTTTCTCATTTAACGTGCATATGTATATCTATGTGTGTGCACATGCACTTACTTTGACGCAGATGTTATCGTCTAAATCTTTAGAAATAGAATTTCCTTATTCAAAGGACAATGAATAGGGTGGTGATGGTGGTGGTGGTGGTGGTGGTGGTGGTGGATTGATGACAGGAACAAGAAATATGGGTACTTCCTGCCAACCTATCGACGCAGATGCATTGCCAATACTCTGGTTACCATCACCACCATCATAACTACCACGTGCCAATGACAATAGCGATTGCAGGACATCAACTTTTCTTCCTAACTACGGAAGAGTACTCTTGTTAAGGACAATGGTTAGAACGGAAGATATCTTGGTAACAATGCCTTACCACTTTTGGAACATATCCAAAATTCAGCCAATTGGAAACTCGAGATTTTTCAAAGGACCAACTAATTTTCTTCTTCCAATCGTCCAACACGTATACAATTATTTAATGGCCACACGTTTGCGCAATAAAACGTTGCCAGGGGTTGGCAATATTTTTGAAAAATTCATTTAAACAGCAGTAACATCACACAAATGTGTGAACGGATGTTAAAGATTGTCCCAGCCATCACACATGTATTGTGTGAGCGGCCACTAAAGTGTTAATCTATGAGATGTTTATTTTAAAAGTGGCCTAACTCTATTTAGGTTTGGATCGAGACATTGAAGGGTTTGCGTTTCATTCATTTCAAAATTAAAAATCAGATTACCAACTATATATGATCTATGTAACCACAGGCAATTGGAAAATAATAATTAACAAATGCATTGACACCACTTCCAATAAATAAACGTTTCATATAAAACAATACCTTTTTTCAATTTTATTTTTTTAGAAAATAATCAACCAAAAAAGGAAACCCCTCCATACAACTGAGAGAACAATAAAGAATATCATTTTTTTCAATCTATTTCAATTTCGGTTCAGAATACAATTAGACCATACGTAAGATGAAAATTAGAAATTTCAAGAAGAGCAGCTGCTAAGATTGGCGTTGATCCGTGAAAAGATAAAATGGGGTGGGTATGACGAAGGGGAAAAAGGCGGGAAAAGGTGAGGGGGGTGTTGCACGCGCGAGATTAGAAAGGAAAATCGAGACAGGGAAGTTGGAGGGGAGTTGGGGTCCCAAAAATGAAAGTTAGTAGGTGGGGGGAAAGGACAACGTGGGCACGAACCTACCCTACGAGGGTTAGAAACCAACGTGGCTTGCTCCCTAACTCGATTCTTTCCCTTCTCTCCACCGTTTTTTTTCTATCCTTCATCCCTCTTGGCAATGTACACGTGCTCGAAGGGCGAGAAGGGTGATCGGTCCCTGCCTGGTTCTACTAAAGCTACCGTTGCTTCCGGTGAATACCCACAAACGTTTCTACCACCTAACATCGAACACGCTAAGAGACTATGATGATAGTAGTGAAAGAGAGACGAATGTGTGAGTGAGTGAGTGAGTGAGTTAGTGAGTGAGTGAGTGAGTAAAAGAGATATTTGAGAAAGTTGGATCAGTGTAAGCAACGCAACGCAACGCAACGAATCGCAGCACACAAAACATATCAGAACCAAGTAGCAAACGTGGAGTGTGATTTTATTCGCGAAATGACACAATATCAATGGGAATGATAAGAGTGTGTTGTTATTAAAACAATGTCACGAAAAATTATATTGAACAAAAACATTACCATCAAATTAACCATAAGATTGTCAGATTCGTCATGGACATTATTATCTTATTCAACGATGGATTATAATTTGATTATTCCAGTGTTTTATTTACGATGAAACGTGAACGACAATTCATTCAAAAACGCACCAATTTATTCGTTGATCGTAACCCCCTTGTGATAATAAGAAAGAATAAGAGAGAAAAGATTTGAAGGAGGATGTGGGAGGAGAGAAAAAAAAAGAGTTTGTTGATTTAGAAATATCAGGAGGAAATATGGATATTACTTGGTAAAAGTGTAACTAATCGGGCACGAATTTATTCGTCCGGTTTCCAAGAAATGAAATTGTAATTTGTGAAAGCCTTGAAATCGTAATTTCTCGTCTCGACGAAGTTAAAATTACAAGAGAAAAAGAAAGGAAGATAAATAAGAAGAAGAAGAAGAAGAAGAAGAAGAAGAGTGAAATATATATAGAGAATGAGAATAAGTAGGAGAGAAAAGAAACACATAAGTGTGTTTGATTTCAATTTGAAGTTTGGTGAACGTACGAAAGGGAAACCAAATCAACGAAGAAGACAAAATTACGAGATTCTTGCTATCGTACATAATATTAATAATAATTATTGTAACGAATGATATTATTACACGTGGTATTAAACAAAAATATATATTTATATATAATAATCAAGAGCAAATAAAAAAAAAAGAGAGAGAGAAAAGAAACACGTGAGTGTGTTTGATTTCAATTTGAAGTTTGGTGAACGTACGAAAGGGAAACCAAATCAACGAAGAAGACAAAATTACGAGATTCTTGCTATCGTACATAATATTAATAATAATTATTGTAACGAGTGATATTATTACACGTGGTATTAAACAAAAATATATATTTATATATAATAATTAAGAAGAAATAAAAAAAAAAGAGAGAGAAAAGAAACACGTGAGTGTGTTTGATTTCAATTTGAAGTTTGGTGAACGTACGAAAGGGAAACCAAATCAACGAAGAAGACAAAATCACGAAGTTTTTTGCTATTGTAAATAATATTACTAATAATTATTGAAACGAGTGATAATATTACATGTGGTATTAAACTTTATTCATTTGATTTTCTAATTGAAATTAGAAAAGAAAGAAAAAAATTAAAGTTTATTTTTGCTTAAAGAATAAAAAGAGAAGAGAAATAAAAAATAAAATTTAAATAAAAAAAAACAGAAAAAGAGAGACAATTCCGAGAAGATACGTTCGAAGAGGTCATACATATTTAACATATGTATAAATAAATACATAAATATATATATATATATACTTCGATCTATTCTAGATCGCGTCCTTGAAACGAAAAAATTTAAAAGCTCGAAGAGAGGGAAAGAAAGGGACGAAAACATAAAAAGAAAGAGAGAGAGAGAAGGATATATAGAAAATACACTTATGTTAGTCTTTCTCTTTCTTTCTCTCTCACTTTAATTCGTTCATTGAAAAACAGTGTGGAAATTGAACGTAATCGATTTATCGCCCACTAAGAAGAAAGAGGAGGAAGAAAAGGAGGAGGAGGAGGAGAAGGTGGTGGCCTCTTCTTCTTTGTAGCAACAAACCAAAACGTTTCGACGGGATAAGATACTCGTTAAGTTATCGAAACACTCGTTAAAATCTTACCACGCATGCCGAAAATAAATGAGAAATAGCTAAGAGCCAAAGATAGTGTGTGAGAGAGCAAGAGAGAATGAGAGAGAATTCAATTGGAAAATAATTCGGAATTTTGAAAGATTTTCGTGTCAGTCGTTCTGTGATTATTCTTACAGAAGTTACGTTTACAATTGCTTCAAAACATATAACTCGAGAAAAACGAAATTATAATTATTTAAAAAGAATAACACATATTTTGTTTGTGAAAATAAAAAGAGACAAATAATTGTGACAGTAGAACCAGAAAGAGAGAAAGAAAAAAAAAGAAATAAATATTTATAATAAATAAGTTAATAAGAAGAAAAAAAGAACATCATTTGTTTGTTTGTGAAAATAAAAAAAAAATAAAAATAATTGTGAAAATAGAAAGAAAAAAAGAGAGAAATATTTAATAACAAAAATAATAAATTATTCTATGGAAATATAAAAAAAAAAAAGGAATGAAAAATAATTGTGAAAATAAAAAGAAAGAAAGAAAAAAAGAGATCAATATTTAATAACAAAAATAATAATTTATCTGTAAAAATAAAAAAATAAAAATAAAAGAGTGAGAAATAATTTGAAAGACAACAACAAAAATATTCAAGTATTATTAAATCAATCAATATCGATTAGTATTTTTAATAATTAATTAATAACGATCGTGTGGATAACCCATGACAATAATTAGCATTTACAACAAGGATGCCATTCGATGGGTTTAATCGTTTATTTATTTAATCAGATCGCGTTACCTGAGTACTTTTTCTTATTGTACATATCCTATAAAAAAAACTCGACGTACAAGAAAATCGTTATTCGCATTACGATTTTTCTCGACGATGCATCGTCACATTCGAACGCGTCATTTTATCAGATTTCTCGATTATCAAAAACAAAAAAAGAAGAAAAGTGTATATTCGTTTGATCTAATTAAACATCAAAAGAGTACAACAATTGTTTTTTAATCAAAAACAAAATAAGTAATAATATATTATGTGTGTAAGTGTGTGTGTATGTGATAATTGATATCGAACATCGATCTGGATCGTACGGTAAACAAGAACACGATCGTAAGAAACATTGGTTCCCACGAAAGGCGAATGGAGACTAAAAGGAAAGAGTTCAATGATCTTGCTTGACACAAAAAGAATAAGAAAATAAATAAAAACGAAAGAGAAAGAGAGAGGAACTCGAGTGTGTGTGTATGTGTGTAAAAGTAAATGAAGAATAAAGTAGCAAATTAAAAGAAGAAAAAAAAATTAATTTTTTATATCATTTTCTTGACGCACAACAACGCACGCGCCAGTGTACTTCCAAATTGGATACTAGAAATAAATAAATAAAAAAATAAAAAAAAGAAAAGAGAAAGAAGAAAAAAGAAGCTAACGAGAGAACGTTATCGATAAAACACTCGACTCAACCCTCGAGATCTTTCTGGAGAGGGCTAATTTTAAGAAAAGATCCTTGAGAAAGTAAGCCTAAGAGCCGAGGTATCCTCGTGAGATGATCAGTCATGGGTTTGGTTAGAAGAACCACGATACCCAACGTTATTTTTTTACCACTACTTGTTCTTACATTTTTAGGACAATTGATTGTACCTGTTATCAGTCGTATCATTGTCCCAACGAGTAATCCTTCGTCATTTATACGTACGACCAAAGCTGTCAAATTGTCATCGGGTAATATGGAAATAATCAATGAGATACAATGTTCAAATCGTGTGTTACGTTTAACGTGTAGATCCTTAAGAGCATTCATTTTTGTATTGGAAGCTGAATATCAACCAAATCGTACGGAATTTTGTGGATATCAAAGTCATATGTTAATTTCGAAAAAAAACAAATTTCAATTGGGAAATAATAAACGGGTCAAGGATACCAGACAATTACGTGGAAATTATATCAAAGACGAGGAGGAAGACGAACGTAATCTTTTCGACGTTAGGGCTTCCTTCAACAGAAAGTAAGCTTATTTTCTCTTTTCTTTTTTTAATATTAGAATATTTCGAAACTCAATGACCGCGAGAGAGAAAGAGAGAGAGAGAGAGAGAGAGTAATTGAGAATATTCGATTACGGTTGAACGATAGTTGCTGAGACCGCAGAAAAAAAAAACCTTTCAAAAGGTATATAACTTATATTTTATTTTTATTATGACCAATCAACTATTACTATCTCTAATTCATTTTATATCAATTTTTCATGTTTCAAGAATTTATTTTTGCTAAATAAAAATAAAGATTAATTTTGAATAAAAATGATAGGTAAAAAAAATGAATGTATCCTGTGAGAATAATTTTTGTAAAATAAAAATGCATCGAACTATTTTTTTTAATTCTTCTTCTTCTTCTTCTTCTTCTTCTTCTTCAATATTCGATTAATCGTACAACCCACGCACAAATATCTTTTTTTTTTTTTTTTTCATTTTCTTCCATCTTGAACAAGGACTCGATATGAGAAACGGCACTTGAGAAACGCTTATTGCGTCTCGGATGCACGTCCAAGAGGGTGGAATCAAATCACGGCTTTGATGTCGAAGAGCTTTAATTGCTTCTGTTGAGAAGAAATAGGGGAGGAGGTTGGTTTCAAGTTACCGAAGGTCGATTGAAAAATGACGTAAATCGACTGACTGACTATGTGTTACAAAAGAGAAAAAAAAAAACAAAAATGGATGATACTTTTCTTTGAAGAAGAGAAGAGAACATCATCAGTCATCGAAAATCTTTTCTTTTCTCGATCATCAAGATTAAATTAAATACAATTTTTGTCAAATAATAAAAAAAAAAAAAACAAATTGAGAGAAAATTAAAAACGGGAATAAAAAAAAAAAGAAAATTGAAAAACAAATTTTTAAAAAAAGATTGAAATACGAAGAAGTTAAAGAAAACTTTAAACTCACACGCGTATACGTTCGTTTTATTTATTTCAAAAGACCAGATGTGTGTGATGGTTGTTTAAAAAAGTTATGCGATTCGAATTTATAACGTTTACTTACATTAGACATTATTTTCTTAGAAAGCAACTACGAAAATGCAATATTAACCAGAGACGCGTAAATAAATTCACTAAATTTAAAGGAAAAATAGGAAAAGCAATGATTAATACATCCGGAAGATTTTTTATAGTTCGGACGTATGAAATAACTTTAATTTTCAAATATTAACTTTTTTTAATAATATAAATATTTAATATAATATTTATTTTTAATTTTTATAATAAAAATATTTTATTATCTCTTTCTAATATATATATATATATAAATTTTTTATATATAAAATTTAAATTTAAAATATTATAAATATGTAAAAATATAATTTATAAATTAACAAACTTAATTTCTAATATTTTATTATAAAATAAAAATGCAAATTTATATAAGAAAAAAAGAAAAAGATTTACGGTTTGTTTCTGTAACATGTTGCAAGAGATTCGTTATCTGTCGTAGGAGAGGAAGGAAAAAAAAAACCTTTTCTTTAATTTCATTCGGAAGGAAGGGTTTTTAGCTTTAAAAAATTCATAAGAATTTGCAGTCGTGTCTGACACGAGAGAGAAAGAAACAAACAGTAAGAGAGAGAGAGAGAGAGAGAGAGAGCTATTTTATTCCTTCTATTTTATTTGCAGTAAAAAAAAAAATAAAAAAATAGGAAGAGGAGTAGGAAGAGACGATAAAATCAACGAAGCGGAAAAGGGTCGAACATGGGGGGTGTAAGAGAAGAGTAGGTGGCAGGGGGATGGATCGAAGGGTGTAACTACGTTAACGAACCCTTTTGCGAGAGGGTGAAAAACAAAGAATTCCCCTTCATATTTAAGCTCAACTCTTGCATTTAACGTTCGTTCGTTCGTTCGTTCGATACGAATGATAGCAACTAGAATCGCGATTTTTGTTTCTTTTATTTCCCGTTCTTTTGCACCATTTGTTTTGTTTTTATTTTGTTTGGTTTTTTTTTTTTTTTTTTTTGAAGGACTAACGATCGAATGCATCCTTTATTTCTGTGCACTGCACCAACCCTTATCATTTCTCATGTCAACTGACAATGAAATTAACTTTTTATAACTTAGAATTTATTCTGTAATTTAAAATGGAAGGTTGACACGAAAATTCGTCAATCAAATTTTTATGTTTAAAGTTTAACTAATGATTTTTATTTTTTGTTTTTCTTTTCTTTTTTTTTTGCAGATGTTCCGGTCAACATCATTGTCGGTACAATTTGAGCAACGACCACCCAGGAACGACTTATTGGCATCCAGCTGCTATCAAATTCAAATACGCATGTGTTCCTGGTGAGTATTTGATATTCGAATGAATTTTTTTCTTTTTTTATTTTTTTTTTTTTTAATTTTTCTTCTTCAATTTCGCATCTTTTATATTCATTTTTTCTCTCTAAAAAAAAAATAAAAGGATGCACATGCATTTATTTACGAAATATCATTGTATTTTAAATTATTCTCTTTTTTATTATTTTTTGTTCTTCTTTTTTTGTTTTGTTGTTATTTTATCATACGAGGAAAGATTTATTATCGCTAATATTATATTAAAGCTGAGAGGTAAAACATCGGTGGTGCATGTTTTAGTACAACAGGAATAATAATTCTCAACGACGTGACCCGTATCCTGCGTGACGTTGACGAGTAATTAATCTTCCATGTATTAGTTGTATACGCGTTTATATACAGGGTGATCTGTAACTGGTGGTACAAGCGAAAAAGAGGCCGACTCTATATGAAAAAATAAATCGAAAAAATAAAATAAAAATTGTTCGTTTGAAGCTTTGTTTTCGAGAACATTAACTTTGAATTTTCGCAAAATACGCGGTCTACTTGATCTGATCAGTTCGTAGTGTATTTCCGAAAAGTTCGTAAAGTATTTCCGAAAAGTTCGTAAAGTATTTCCGAAAAGTTCGTAGGGTATTTCCGAAATAACGAGACATGATCAAGTGGCCCACGTACTTTGCGAAAATTCAAAGTTTATTTTCTCGAAAACAAAGCGTCAAACGAAAAATATTTATTCGATTTTTTCGATTTTTTTTTTTCATGTAGAATCACCCCCTTTTCGCGTGTACCACCAGTTACAGATCACCCTGTATATACACAATACTACATATCTATATATGTTTAAACGTTGGACTATGGATGATATTAAAAATCGATAACAAAATTAAACCGTAACATCGATTACCTGACCAATTATTTATTTCATTTATCAAAATTTCTCTCAAAATCTACCCTCGATATAAACTTTATACAACTATTGAATTTTATTCCACCAAATTATTATAATAATATTCTACCGTTTAAATACGTGAAATGATTTTTCATTGTTAGTCGTGAAATTATGTTAAACGTGTCATTCATTTTTACGATCATTGAACAGGAATATAAAATAATATACCGTCATCTATTTTATTTCGAATTGATTTTGCAAAAGCAATCAAATAAAAAAAAAAAATGTGTTGATTCGAATCCATTGATGGTTGTATATCGTTTGGATCGTTATCGATTGGACCCACCATTAATCGTAGATAAATCAGGGACAGCTGCATAGCAAAGTACGAAATGAATGGGACCCTGACAAAATAGAAATGGGGACAGGGTTTACAAATCCCTAAAGCTTAATGGAGGGATTTTCTTTTCTATGTAATTCACTTCTGGACAGAACTATCGAAAATTCCATGAAAATCGGCGTGAAATGACCTATAACGAGAACGAAAAAAAGAGGAGTAAAAAAAAAACGAAATAAAATCCTTAGATAAAAGAATTCGAAACGAAACGATTCTGATTCAGTGATTTTCTCTATTGATACGTCGTATGTGTCTACTTTGTGTTAGAGATTCGTTTCTCGATTCACATCGATTTTATTTCCTTTTTATTGTCAACTACGTGCTTGCTAACGTAACTAGAAGCTTTTAAGGGGTAATCTCGATGACTTGAAATAAATGAGAATAGAAACGTGGGTAGTAGTGGTAAAAGGTAATCGATAAAACAACGTGGGAAAAATTCTCAAGGGAAGATACTTATATAATGTTACTTGAGTAAGAAAATTTATTTATTATTCATTTGTTTCAAATACTTATTTCTCTGCATTTTATTATAATAAATGTAATCGTTCATTTACAAAACTTTAGAGAAAATTTGCGTTCATCTATACTTGAAATTTCATTTCCAACTAAAGATTATCAATTATTTGAGTGTAATTACGAGATAGAGGAAAGGTTAAGGGTAGAAGGGTAGAAACTACCCCTTCGGCGTCCTAATATCGGAGGTCCGGATCCCCGTTTAGAAGCCCTACTTTGAGCGCACTCTCCGAATGAAAGTAGGGCAAGGACAGACCTCGACGACATCTTCGTCGACACACCCCCCCCACTCACCTATCTGACATCACACAGTTCTAATGGATCCTACGGTCACGCTCCAGATCGACAAATGGACCGCAACCGACGCAGATGTCGATCTTTCTAACCCTGAAGAAAGTTGCCTTTTGAAAAACGCATGCACCACCCCCACTCACCTATCTGACATCACACAGTTCTAATGGATCCTACGGTCACGCTCCAGATCGACAAATGGACCGCAACCGACGCAGATGTCGATCTTTCTAACCCTGAAGAAAGTTGCCTTTTGAAAAACGCATGAATCATTCTAAACAAATTAGAAAAACATATTTTCTCTTTATAGTAATATTTAATTAATAAATAAAATCAATTATAAATGACAGAAGGTGTGATTGGAATTGTTGATTTTATTTATTTATTTTTTTTTTTATATGGTAAATTATAATGACGAATATTATTGATTTCAGAGATAGCGGTTTGTAAATATTGCAACGTTGAAGTAAAAATACCCAAAGGTGAGGAAGGAGGTTATTTAAAATCTCCAGGATACCCACTCTATTATCCAGGAGGTTATTCCTGTGGTTGGACCTTTAAATCATCACCGGGTGAAAGGATAGTCCTTACTTTTCACGACCTAAATATTCGCAGTAAGTTTCTAATATTTCAGAAATTAATAAAATTATTGTAGATGTATGTTTGATTCTAGATCTAATACTTGAAATATATTAATTGTATGATTTTTAATGAAATCAGGCCCAGAATCGAATGGAACTTGTGTAGACGTAGTTAAAATTCGAGAAAATGGAAACACTTTGTTCGAACGTTGTGGTATCGCAGCTGGCATCACAATAATCTCTAATTCAAACCTGGTGACCCTTGACCTGATAGCCTCGACAAGACTTTATCCTGCACGAGGATTCCTTCTACAATATCAAGGTCGGTCTATGACTTATTTGATTTAACTATGAATCATTTCAATCTGTATGCAATCTTTCTACACTGCATACTTTAAGAACACTACAACTACTACTATTACTACTATGTTTTATTTAACTTGTTAACTATAAACATTTACATTACGTTTGATACTCACTAAAATGTAATTCAAACATGTCGTGAGTAGATAACTGGCTTTTAAGATAGATCCAACCAACCAACGATTACAAAACGTATGGTTGTTCTATCCCAGAAATAGCATTGGATATTTCTGGATAGACGATAGACTACTAAACCACCAACGCGACACGTTACAAATATAACTTAATTCCTTTTGATTAAATAATTTATCATTATAGATATTTTATCAATTAAAAGTAACACAATAATATTATTATTTTTTTTTTTTAATATACTATTTTATCATATCCAATTTAAAAATTGAATTAATTAATTTTATTAAATGTACAGAGAAAAAATAAATACCAAAGTTCTATGATTTTTAAATATTTGATATTAATATTAAAAATTATAGAACTTTCTTATTGGCAAATTTTATCTGCAATTCTCTTAAGGGTAAAATCGATATCAATAAGTATCTTGCATTTACATAAAGTAATAGCAATACTGTTTTCAGTGTTACGCTGTCCAAACGTTTCAGCACCAAACGGAAGTTATATATCGAATGATACAGTGACGTCAAGAACATTCTCGTGTAAATCCGGCACCGTGTTTCCCGACACGAGGAAAGAGAATAGAATACTTGAGTGTAAGAACGGAAAATGGAACGAGAGCATCGATAAGTTGCCTACTTGTGTTGGTAAGAAAACAAAAATCCAAAAATCACTTTCTATCTACGTTAATTAATTTTCTACAAAGCGAATTGTCGACTGGTTATTTTGTATACACGTATAGAATAGTAATTAAGGAATTTGAGTTCGTAATGAAATAATTTATTATTAACATTATAACAATTCGATGAAAAATCAGTGAAATGATTAAAAAATCCAAAAAAAAAAATACACAGCTTAGAAATATTTTAAATATTTAATATTATATTTATAAATTTATGTTTATAAATTGTAATATTCTATTTAATATTTTCAATAATAATGTATAGCAAATGTAAACGAGGTAACCAGTCAACAATGTGTTAATTAACATTCTTTTTACTAAAATTTGAGATATAATTAATAATATTGATTATATAATTGGTAGATGTATATGATGAAGGTTCAATGAACTTTAGGTATAAGTCATTATATTTTTTATCAATACTTTCGTATAATATCTATAGTAAATCAAAGTTTCTTTGAATACAAATATTTCAATTATTAGTCAAACTCATTATTATATAATAGAAAAATCATTTTTAATTCAAAGTTTAATGTGTATTATACAGATATCATTTTCGTGATTTAAAGTTTGAATGTGATCTTACAGTTATCGTACCCTCCTATAGATGCCGGCACACATCTTGAACATTTTCTTCTTCTTCTTCTTCTTCTTCTTCTTACACTTGACTTTTGTAATCTATTTTTATCGCACTTTGTACATAGATCCAAGAACTTTTTCTTAGTTCTAAAACTTTCCAATACTATTCTATCTAAAACTATAAAACTATCTGACTCAAAAGTTATATATATATACTCATCGCTTTAGAATTTTAATTCAAACATCTAGAAACTAATACCACTACCTACGATCTATGAACCTTCCTTCTATACAGTACAAATCCATTTGCATGCATTTGATATACAGAATCGATAAGTAAGACTTCCTATCAAACGTTAAACGCATATAAATCGACCAGTTAAACGATCGGTTTTCGATATTCAATTAAAACTCCACTGTCAATATTTTATTTTCAAACAATTACAATTATTTTATTAATTTTTTTTAATATAATCTAACAACGAATTTAAATAACGATATAAATCAATAACTGCACATTAATTATATATATAAAAATAAATATTATTTCAAACACATCAGTCATGTGACTACACACGGTACAAATTATCTCGTTCAATTTAATATTAAAATTGTAATTAAAAAAAAAAGAAAGAAAAAAATAATATTAAAGTATAATAAAATATGATAGTATTATAACTGGATCGATTGAACGTAAATACGAGAGGGTATGGGAGTTTAGAAAGGGGGTTAGAGATATAGGGTGTTGTAAAGAAAAGAAAAAGAAAAAGAAACATAAAAAAAAAACAGGAAAAAAAAGTCCTATCCTAGGACGAGGTCCTTGAGATCGATAGCACGTCCCTTTTTGTGATAGCCGTCTGCTCGGGAACCCCATGAACGTCCATCGGATTCGAAAGGGGAAAGAATGAGTTGGGTTTGATGGTGGGGATTTTAGTACAGTGGTGGGGTTCAAGAGAACGAAGGAATGGGTTGAAAATGGTATGGTGGGGGAATGGGTTGGAAGGAAAAGAGGAGATTCGCATTATCTCTTTCTCTTTCTATTTTTCTTTCTCTCTCCCTCTCTATCATTCACGGTGAATACTCTTGGGGAGGTAGGGCAAGAAAGAGAGAGAAAGAGAATGTTCATAAAAGAGACCACCATACCAGGTTCGAACTCAACGCAACGCATCGCGACGCCGGTCGTCACGACACACCACGTGTGTCTGTTACTAAAAATCATACACTTACTCCGCGGTGGTGGTGGTAGTAGTGATTCAAATCGCTCAACGGTTTATATACAGGTGCATCCGTATATTATTTTCATTTTTCATTTATTATCGTAAAAAATTTCGTAATAAAAAAAAAAATAAAATAAAAGACTTCTCTCCCCGATCGATTGAAATTCGATATTTTCGTGATAGATAATATTGCAAAGAAAATTGCTTTTCATAAGGATTTACTGAAGATATTATGAAGGATTTCTATCAAGGGAACGAAGCACGTTGAACTCAGGTAGATTATTATCTTTTTTTTTTTTATGAATTTAATTTCTATGTCATGGATAAATTTAAATGTTAAATGTGACACACGGACTTGGTTCTAATTAACCTCGATAATTGTTTTCATTAAAATTCATTTTAATCATTTCTTTTTTTTATATATCTACTAACGTTGAATATATAAAGTATGTAAGAATTATTTTTTAAATCGTTTATATTGCATTGTATCGCCCACAACGAATGAAGATTAAATCTTTGTTATATTTGTCGTCTTGGGATTGGTTTAAAAAGTTTTCATATCTTTTCTCGTTCCCGGTCAAATAAGATAAATGTCTCCTATCGTTATTTATTTGATTAAATGAGATATTATTATATTATTTCTTCACTTCAGATAATAAAATCCGGAGAGAGCTTCTACATCGTAAGTAACAAATATTACAATAATAAATTAATTTAAAATTGATCAACAACAAAAATACAACATATTTTATTATATTTATTTTTAACCACCACACATTGCTTTTACTAAAAATTATGTTGATTATCTTACTTAGTTACGAATAATTACCTAATTATCAAGAACAAGTTTGTTTTTTAATATTATAAATGATACCATATGACTGTTTTTATTATTACCGGTTCAACAACTGCATTACAAACTGCATATCAATATGCATACATATGCATTTCAAATGAGACAAAAAGAAAAGAAGAAAATATGGGTATGTTTTATAATATATTCAAAGTTATATTCATCTACTACACTCTTTGATCTTTATTACATTGTTTATTTAACAAATTGATGAAAAACATACTTCGCGAGCATTCTTCCGGATTATGAAAATGAAGTAACAACGAATTTGAGAATAACCCGATTTCACCCTTCCTTCCCTCCCTCCCTCCCTCCCTCCCTCTCTCGCTCTCTCTCTCTCTCTCTCTTTTTCCCTCTTTTTCTTCTTCTATTTTCTTTCGAAACTTGAAAGCTCGAAAGTTGCTTATTACTCGAGTAATAAGTACTCGAGAGCGAACAAAGACAGGAAAGATTTTGCTGTCGGCAAAATAAAGAATGAAAAAAGAGAAAAAAAAAAGGAAAAGAAACAATATCTTGGTCCCTTGTTCCCTTTATCTATTTTTCTTTTTTCTTTTTGCGGCGTCATCGTTCATTAATTAAAAAGACTAGACAAGACGAAAGTTCGATCATGCGAATTTTCGAATAACCATGAAAGAGTAAGAGAGAGAGAGAGAACCTTTTGTGATGAATCAAACGTCACTTTCGATCGTTTCGTTATTACAGAATAGAACACATATGCATCTATAGAAACATATGAATATATATATTATATATACATAGGAATGTTTTACACTTGGAAAAGCGAGTCGTTTGAGATGAAAACCGTAGTTTCCGTAGTGGAAATAGAAAGAGAAAAAGAGTGAGAAAGAGAGTAGAAGCTTTTTAAATCGCATGTTGAGAGACATGGCGATGGTATGGGATGAGTTTGAAGCTACAGAAGCTGGCTACAAGCTATACTTTATACCCAGTGTGCACGCATTTCGAATGCATGCATAATTCAGAGGATATTCAACAACGCCGGATCCCACTCGGCTTCGGAACCGTAAAAGAAGAAAAAGGGAAGCCAGTTTTCATCCTGACATGAGAGAGAAACATAGAGAAAGAGAAAGAGAAAGGGGTAGAAAGAGGGTGATGGTGGGGGGATAAGGTGGTAAAGGAGGTGGTAACGACACAGCTGGAGGAAGTTGTTTCTTCTCTCTCTTTTTCATTCTCTCTCACATCAGTTTATCTCTTTTACTCTCCCACACTGTTCTCGCCCGGTCAAACCGAACTACCGATAAATTTAGAGTTCCCAGAACAAAACGACACATGTTATATATGTGTGTGTATATGCGTTTAATTCTCCCGTTCCCACTCTCTCTTTCAAGTGTTACTGCAATTTTTTCAAAACTGGTTTTTAATACAACTATCAACCCAACCCCATAACTCTTATCGCAAATTAAACTTTGTTTGTTTCCATTTTTATATTTTTTCAATTAAAAACTTCTTTAGAATCGGTGAGATTTGAAATGTTTTTCTGGAGCTTCGAATATCTTATTTATATATCATAATATAAAATGTTGACCTGTGAGAAACGGCAAAGTTATATTTTACTTTTATAATTGACCATCGTTAGTTTTCCAATCAAAAAAGTAAATTGAGTAGCATCATTTCACAATTTCCAACAAATCACCTTGATTCTAAAAAAGTTTTCACTTGAAAAAACCAATACACCCACACACTTATTGAAACTTCCTAATTTCTAAGTATTAGGATAAATAGTTAAATACTTCAATACTTATATTAGATATATGTACACACCAAGAATAGTAAGTAGGTAAATTGTTTTCGTCCTGGCTACAAGAGAAAGATAAAGAGAATGTGTATAGGTTGATACCCAATGGGTAGGGGTAACTTGGTTCTCTCCCTCTTTTTCGTTCACTTCGATCACTCTCTCCCTCTTTTACTGGTTGGTTCGAAGCAACGCCACCACACGACGACGACGACTACGACGATGACGACGACGACGATGTTCCCTCCACCATTCGACGAGTCGTGTGCGTCAGCCTGCTAGCCAGCCAGCCAGCCAGCCAGCCAGCCAGCAAGCAAACAAGCAAAGCAGGCAGGCAGGCAACCAAGAGAAGGAAGGAATTTCGAGTCCCAGTCGCCATCGGCGTTTCTGTTAGCGGGATCGTCGCGACTTACGTTCGTTCTTATCGCCCTTTCAATTTTGTTTTCGTCCATCAATGGAGAACACGCTTAAGCGCTTCTCACGTTTACGTATTACGCACGCATTGCGATTACGTTCTACGGCAGCACACGCGCGGTATCGCGAACAAAGGGAAAAAAAACCCCCAAGCAAAATATTTTGTTTTCACCTTATTCACATTTAACTTTACCCTTACGACACGTTGATTTTTATTGTTCTTAAATCATTCGGATCTCTCTCTCTCTCTCTCTCTCTCTCTCTCTCTCTTCGTCAAATTTCGATTCGATTGAAAGGTGGATGGATTATTTTACGATCTTTTTTATTTTTTGTGATATCAAAACTAAAAGAAAATTTGATCATCGATTCACGGTGAAAAAGGTTTTTGTCTTTCATTATTTATTTAGTTTTCTCTTTTGCTTTTAGTAGTTTTTTTTCTTTTATTTATCTGGAAAGAGCTATGAATAAAGGAACAATCATTGCGTCAGGGTTACGTCAAGAGTTTGTTTCTGATGCATTTAAGAAGATGAGACAAATTGGTGAAAGAAGAGTTTATGTTCTTTCTCTTTGTTTTATTTGGAAAGGATCGTTGTTCAAGGATACGTGCCTAATTAAACTGAAACATCTTCTTCATCTTCTTCTTCTTCTTTAAATTTATTTGAAAAATATCATAAATTGCTTCAAGTACTCATATATTTTCTTTTGAGAATATCTATCGATTTATTTTCATTCTTTTTTATTTAATAAACGTTTATCATTTTCATTTACAGTATGGAGATAAAATTGAAAACGTGTTAAAGTTTCGACGATTGTTTGTTATTTTATTTAAAAACTTTCGAGAAGTTATATTTAGTAATATCAAACTATTAGCGATAACTATTGAATATTTGAAAATTTTAAACTACCAATAAGGTTATTTCCTCAGTGACAAACACATATTACAAATATAGATAAAGTTCAAGTACTTCAAACAAAATCACGCGTAAACATAATGCATTTGAATATAGAACGTTGTGATTTATCGATTGGAATAAATTATTGAAAAAAAGAATAATACAAAACGGAGATGATACTATCTTACGAAATTTCATATATCGTAAGATAAGAAGATTAAAAATGCCGAATGCAGGAAGAAAGAGAAAAATATCGAATCGTATGACTTGGAATTGAAATAAGAAAGATCTACGCGCGAAACCGAATTTTGCCGAAGTTAAACGAATGTTACTATAGTCTCTATGAAATGGGTGTTACAAAAATGATCGAGAGTAGGAAAATATTGACGTATACATTCGATAAGATATAAGAGCCAAAGTGAAGCATTTTGTTAACATAGATAAGAATAATATATATATATATATGTATAATACGTATGTATAATCTTATACCTGATACCCATATATACATACATACATACATACATACATACATACATACATACATTCATACAAACATACAAACGTACGTTCTGTTCTCTGCAAATCTATCAGGCGTTTCTATATCTCTTTTATTTTTTATTTTTGTATATATAGTTCTCTGTATGTTTTCTTTCCCTATATCATACTCTTTTTTCCGAAAGGGGTTAAAGATCATCTGTTAGTAGAAGGCGATGATTTGAACGTGAACGGAACGTCTTTCCCATCACGCCACGCGTCGTTCATCTCCGATAATAAAATCGACGAAATTACATCGATCTCATTCAGTTCGGTTTCTTCCGTGAACGCAACAGGGTTCGTGCCAATTTCAAACAACAACAAAATAAAAGAAAATGTATATATGCAATTATTATTATATATTACATTAAAATATCATTTAGTAATATATATATAATAATTTTATTTTTATTTGTTCTCAAAGTTCAAAAGACAATTCTATTGACGCAATGACGAATAATTTGTCATCTTGGATTATTTGATTCTCATCGATATAACGAAAAGAATAAAGGAAACAAAGTTCATACTAAAGAGAATTAAAGAGAGAAATAAAAGATAAGAAGGAAGAGAGAAGAAGTGCATCCATCTCCGAGTATTATTGGTGAAAAAGGTTGAACGAAGAGAAGCAAGTTTTTGTGCGCGGGAACCATTTCGTTTGGTGGAGGCAACTGAGAAGGAAGGTCGTGTCTTGTCTTGTCTAACTAACTAACATAAAAAGTTTGAACGAACGAAGAAAAGAAAGTTTTTCTATATTTTTACAACTTTTTCTTTTCTCTTTCTCTCTTTTATTTTCTTTTTTCGTTTGATTGAAAAGAAAAAAAGTTACGTGAAATCGTAAATGCAACGATGTATCGTGTAGAAACGCGTAATTGTGCCAAATTATAGCTAAAATCAGTTTTAATAGTGTTCAACAGAAGAAACAAACACATATATATATATATATATACACAAATACAGACGTCTATATACATATATATATATACCAATAATTACTTAATTATCTCATCAAGAGAAATTATCCACCTTGTTGCTTCAAAAATGATACGAATCTTCACCGATACCTTCAGAAATTTAATCAGTAAGTTATATTTATTTTCTTATATTTTGATATATTTTATATTATTATTATTATTATTATTATTATTATTATTATTATTATTATTATTATTAATTAAAACATTTGGAACTCAAAATTTCATTGCCGCAAATATCAAATCCCGCCAGTGTTATTATAT